TTGTTAGCATAGTTAGCGTTGGCAGCCATCTTGAATCAGAGCGTATCTAAAGGCTGAGACGCACGTCTGATATTTAATTTCTGTAAGTTTCAAATAAAATCTATCGTGTGGTTATTGAGATATTCACCACAAAGCTGGAGAGGGTTGACTCCAACACGCTTGACTTGATGTAAAAGATTTAGCTAAACTCTCATGGGACCAGTTAGCGTTGGGACAGTGTTGAGGACGATACTTAGCTACTACCACACAAACCTCTAGCTCGGTATCTGCTTTTCTGCCTGAGTTTTAACCATGTTTGTGTTTTCTAGGGTCAGCTGGCGGTAGCAGCCATCTTGAATGAGGTTAACTCTAAAATTCAATTAATTATGGATGTACATTAAATCATTTCTTTATGACCATGAAACCAAAAGAACTAAAATGACTGGAGTCAGAGACAAAAATTCACTAAATTGTTAAATGTTGACGTAATAAATTTTATTTCCAGATCTAATTATGATACCCAGACATTGGGCTAAAGCTGACACCTGACCGACCAACCAATCCAACACCAGTGTTAAATAAAATATGGAAGGTTTTTTTTCTACCTGTGACAAAGAGACTGGGCTGATAGTTCTGTGTGCGAGAACACAAAAGCCACCATACTGTTGCACCTAGCAAGATTTATGGTGGGGGGATTACTGTTTCACCCAAACCACAGAATCAAATTGACAAATGTGTGACAGGCAGCATGGTGGAGCACGCCATGCTGGAAACAGAGGCTGTCATGTTACACGTCATGCTTCTGATTCCAGCACAGCAGAAAGCCATTTCAAAGGACACACTCAGATGGAGAATCACTGCGTCGGTTCTGCACAGAGCAAGGACATAAATAAAGAACGAGTCCAGGCAGTACAACCAAAAGAAGGGGTCTTATGTGTGATTCAGGTGAGAAAAGTTTTATTTTTAAAGTTATTGTTTTCCATCGTTACTCATTACTAAAATAGTATCCAAGCACAGACGGTGAGGTGGAAAAAATAAACCAAACATAAACTTCTAAAGTTTTATGTGAAGAAAAAAAATCCATGAAAATTAAAAATCCACTCAGTAAAAAAGAAATGCAAGAAGTGGGTGAAAAGTCATCAACTAAAATAGCTTCTTTTTCCTCGTCACCAAACTACATCTAGATCGGTACTCAATAGCCACTTTCATGGGACTCACCGTGGCTGCACATCAATGCAATGCCTTTGAATGCACCATGGCAGCATGGTGAAGCAAGAACATTGCACCATTCGTGCCACCAAGACTGACCCTGACATTACCAAACCAGACACTGTTCTCTCCATCCTTGAGATGTCCATGAAGATAACAAACAGGACCAGAAACGAGGGGTAGTCCTGCTCAAGTCCAACCCACACCGAAAAGGAGTTCAACGTACTGCTGAGAATGCAAACATTATGTCTAACAGAGGAAATAAGTGTATTTTTTAAATAAAACAGCTTTAGGATATTCTCTCACTTGGAGAAAGCTGATGCACTTAACATCATTAGCAAATAATTACTTGTTTACACAAAACCTATTTTAAGTCACGTCTAGTCCAATATTTACTCTCCTCTGTGTTGTTAAGCTCAACTCTTTACAGAAACCTGCTTCTTTTACTGTGTTCTCTTGCATTTACTGATTAGTCCAACAACATTCTGTTGGATTTTAAGAAGCTTTAAACTGAAAACAGGTGGGTGAACAAGAGCAGAGTGAACTGTGAGACAGAACAGTAAAGTTACGGGACCTGAAAAGCAAAACAATGAGATACTAAGACCCAAAAATAGTCCGTATGGAGTCGGCACAGTGGGACGCTTTCACAGTATAACTACTTGTGCTGTAAAAGTGCCCATTGGCACTGGGGATAGGCTGCTCAGAGATTTGTAGCTCTAAACAGACTATCTGAGGAGTCCAGAGTCTTTCATGATCAAGAACCCTGAGTCAAAAGTCTCAGGTCATGTGAGATGAGACTTTTCTTTCCAAGATTTAAAAGCAGCAACCGGTAGATCAAAGTTAAGGCAATAATAAATGCTGCAGGATTTCAGCACACCAACCAGCCAAAAAGAAGAAAAAATCCCCACAAGTCCAATTTGTGCAAATGCTACCTCCTCCCTGCATGCACGCGCGCACACACACACACACAAGTGATGGGTGAGCTGAATGCCACAACAATGATTACTGCATCATAGAATGCTGGGGACTGTGTTGTTCTTGTGCTTTTAGATTTGACAGCTGCTTTTGATACTGTGGATCATGCTGTTTTATTCTCTCGTTTAGAGCACTGGGTGGGCATTAGCGGCACAGCTCTGGAGTGGTTCAGGTCCTATTTGGCGGGGCGAACTTTTTGTGTCAGTCTCGGTGACTATGTGTCGTCCTCCGCTCCGCTCTTGTGTGGTGTCCCGCAGGGCTCAGTTCTAGGCCCCCTCCTCTTCTCTTTGTATCTTCTTCCTCTCGGTTCTATATTGAGAAAGCATGGCATTGCCTTCCACTTGTATGCTGACGACTGTCAGATCTATGTCCCTCTAAAGAAAAAAGGCAGAAACCTCATACAGCCATTACTACAGTGTCTTGACGACATAAAGGCTTGGATGTCTGTGAATTTTTTAAAATTCAATGATAAAAAGACTGAGGTGATGATTTTTGGTAGTCCTACTGAGACACCCAATGTGTTTGTAGATTCCTTGGCCCAGTTTGTTAAACCAACTGTCACCAACTTGGGGGTCAAAGTGGACTGTGATCTGAAGTTTGAACATCAGATTAAGGCGGTGGTAAAATCTGGCTTCTTTCACCTCAGGCAGCTGGCAAAAATAAAGCCAATTCTTTCACGGCAGCACTTTGAGACAGTGATCCACGCCTTTGTAACCACTCGGCTGGATTACTGTAACGCACTCTACATTGGGGTCAGTGCATCATGTATTAGTCAGCTACAGAGAGTGCAAAATGCCGCAGCTCGTCTTTTAACTGGCACTCGAAAGTTTGAGCACATTTCCCCTGTTTTAGCTTCACTTCACTGGCTGCCCATTTCTTTTAGGATTCATTTTAAAATTCTTTTATTTGCTTTTAAAGGTCTTCATGGCCTTGCCCCCTCTTATCTCTCTGATCTGATACAGCCTTACACTCCCTCCCGCTCTCTCAGGTCTGCTGATCAGCTGCTCCTGATTGTACCCAGGACTGAGCGTAAATTTAGAGGAGATCGTGCTTTTGCTGTTGCAGCCCCAAAACTGTGGAACGAACTTCCTTTAGAGATAAGACAGGCCAGTTCCTTATCTGCTTTTAAGGCACTCCTGAAAACACACCTCTTTACCCTGGCTTTTAATACCTTGTGAGATGTTGGTTTCTATTTTTTATTTTATTTTAGCTGTTTTAGGTGATTCAAATGCGGTTTTATCAAGTTTTATCAAGTTTTTATTTTTAATATAGGGCTAGTTTAATTTTATGTATCATGTGTTTTATTTATCTTTGCTGTTTTCTTTCTAGTCAATTGTTTTAATGTACTTTCTGTACAGCACTTTGTTCCTGTGCTGGGTCTTGTAAAGTGCTTTATAAATAAACTGGATTGGATTGGATTGCATCAAACAGCATCAGGTCCTTGAAATGTCAGTCATCCCCTGTGATCTCTTCACTTGGCGTACTGCCTCCACCTACCAACGGGGGCGACACTCCAGTCAGTGACTTGTAATTACGAGTGCCGTTTAGGTGTGTCAGAGCGCTGCAGGCGGCTCTGATCTCAGTGGGGGGACTCCAAACTCGGACGTCTTCAAAAACAACACAAGGTAGCATGGCGGATAGTGGTGTAATTGATGATAGAGATCTGTGTAATTCAATCAGCCATAATGGGAATGCCTGGAGAGGCAGAACGCCTTTGATCACGGCGGTTTGAGAGGAGCACGTCTTTATTCAAAGGCAGCAGCTACTTCAGCGGAGCACATGCTGGCTTCAACCTGATTCCTCTAGTTAAAGGATGACCTAGCCATTGTTCTCACTGAATTAACACTTGATTCAACAACTCTGTTAAACTTGTGAGCGTCCACTCAGAAAGAACAAAAATATCAACGCTGGTAATAAATGGTTGTCTCCTTACAGATTGTGTCTGTTTCTGCTTTTTGGCACAATGAAATGCTTTGAAATCAGACAAAGTGAATATAAAACAGCTTTTAAATGATGACTTCATTATTTAAGGTAAAAACTGTTGCTAAAACCTAATTAACTGGGATGATAAATCGTTTACAAAGCTGGGTTCAGTTCCACCAGCCACACACAGACCTGTAGAATTAAGAAATCACTCCAATAAAATCTGTCTGACAACATGAAGTAGGCTAAAAGATCTCAAAAACCAACACAGCATGCCTTGTTCTAGAGAAATTCAAGAACATAAGAACCAAGGACATCTAAAGTCCTGCAGATCTGACCTGTTTCAGAGACACTCGCATATGAAGGTCTGGTAAAATAACCCGGAGTTCTGATAGTGCAGCAGGCCTAATATGGCTCAAAGGATCTACCTCCATAGTGATGCTAAAGACGCCTTCCCTGTTAGGTTAAATCTGATCTTAAACATTTAAATTCCAACAGGAAATCTGAAAAGACACAAAGGTGTTTCCGCAGCGCCGCATACGCTGCTATATTTTTATCATTTGTTTTGTAACAAAGTTCCTCCTAGGATGGGAACAAAGTCAAAACAACATGACATAAACACCCGTTTGTTATTGCTCGACTAATGCTGGAGGAAAAAAAGTAAAATTATGCATTAATAAAAGCTGAGTTGAGTTTGTGATTGACAGCTCAAAAGAACACCTATATTTGGAAGCTGACATTTCACATAATTACCTTTCTACTGACTCGCTACAGAAAAAAAAACAGACGGGCTCTGACAACGGCGAAAACTTGCTTGTGAAAAGACAGGCAGCATTCCCCGGCGAGCATACCATCCCAGAATAAATGTATAAATTGGATTTTCATCTCTGACCTCATCGTGTATCGTGCCTCACCTGTTAAAATGTTCTCTGTATTCCTTCGCCACCCTCTGCATCAGGGTCTTTAATCTAAAAGCAAATGAGAAGAGAGCGAAAAGCCACATAAGTCAGAGTCTGTCTTTATTTAGCTGGTGGCTGCAATTTGTGGGAAGCGCCAAACAATAACAGCAAGTCTTATCTTTATTAGAAACCTAAATGCAGCTATTGTGGGAAGTGTGGGAGCAATTTAAGAGGCTAGCTTAAAAAAAATCATACCTGTCACTCTGCTCTGTGGGGTCCTTCTCATGGATGACGGCGATTGCCACCAGCTTGCCTGAGAAGGAGAATTTGGGAATTATAATAAAATAATAAAAACCAGCCCATTTAAGGCACTCCGTGTGGGAGAAACATCACTTTACTAAAGAGAAGAAGCCTAGAAAGGGATGAATTCATTAATCACTTAAACATTTAACCAACTTTAGCTTGCTTGTGCAGGAAAAAATGGTCACATTTTGACGACAGGAAAACAATTCAGGTCTCATTCCAACTACAGGTCTAGCTAAATAAATAATAAATCCTATAAAAAACGTAAATGGTCTCTTCTGATTTGAGGCTGGAAGCTGGTTGACTTTTGGATGAGAGCGCCATCCTGCCCCCTGCTGTTCGCTGACATCAAACCAAGTGGAAAGGAAATTTATCTTCACCTCAGCATTTCTCCCAAAATAACTTAAGCGTGCACAGGTCTGTGTCTGTTTAGAAATACAGTAAAGAAATGTTAATTTATGGATCCGTTTGTCTGTGAAAGTGTTTTTTTCTTTTCCTTCCACTACAGTATGGCAGCATGGGAGTTCCACCTACGGGAATATGCATAATTAAGTCGGTGCAGTTTTTGAACACCTAACAAGGTGCACGCGATCTACAGTTGTAAAAGCTGGAATTTCTTTGGAGTTGGAATAATTGGCATAGAAGCATCATTCATCTTTGTACTGCCATGAAGCACACAGGGATTGTGCTACACCACTGAAGGCTTTAAACGTCAAGAAAAGATTTCTTTTATTAACAAAGGGTAAAACGTAACCCATTTTAAGTTGTTGTGTATATAAGATTTATTTTGTTGCAAATAACCATTTTATTGTGATTTATTCACTAAAACGTGACTAAGCGTTAACTTTTTGGTTCATGTGAGGTAACAAGCAGCTAGAAACACTTCTTTTTTAAAGATTCTCGTTAAAAATCATTAAAGTCAAAGGCCTATCGCTCGCTACTGAAGTGACAGCAGATAGAGTTAAGAGGTAATTATGAATAAAGCATTACAGTCTTTAATGAGAAAACCTCTAGGATGATTATAAAGATGTAACAGAACATAAAACGGTTTGTGAACGATATCTTTACTTCGAGTTAATTAATACGAACCAAATCCTTGATTTTTGTCCTGCACAGAAAGGACATTTTTGACTAAATCCACTTCTGTGACTTGACACACATATTTGGAGTTTCCTAAAAATAAAATCAAATAAAATGCCACCCAACCCTGAAACATTTTTGTGCCCTGTAGGTTTAAAATTGTGCCATTGAGCAAGTTGTTCTGAACATTTGTGGGAAAGTACATCCTGCACTCTCAGCTCAGACGTTTCCAGCCGTTTTTATTTCTATGTCCACTCAACTTTTTTAAAAAAGCTGCATTTTCTGTACAACAAAGGTAAGATGAAATCCTGGGAATTTTTTGACCATTTTTTTTAGTGAATAATCATTGTCAAAACAGAATTCTTCTAGGAAATGCTGAATCTGTTGAAATCACAATGAACTGGACTTTTTGGATATGACCAAATATGTCATTTAATTATCATGTCGAGCCACATTTACATGGCATGTTTTCTTGTCACAGTTAGTCGTCACACACTGGAGAAATATGCCTTCCACATTTGACCCATCCCCTAAGGGGAGTGGTGAGCTGCAGACACGGCCAAGCTCGGGAACTATTTGGTGGTTTAACCCTCCAATCGAATCCGTTAATTGCAGGTGTCAAGAAGGGAGGCATTGGGTCCCATTTTTAAAGTCTTTGGTACGACATGACAGACGCTGACAGGAACAAGGAGTTAGGGATGTAAAAAATATTGATATGGCAATATATCGTGATTTTTTTCCAGCGATATTATATGGATATTCAAAAGCCGTCTACCTAATTTTTGGAAGAATTTACATGCAAACATTTGTGTATTTTCTTTTCTTTTGGTGCAATTCACCAAATTCCACCAATGAAATGTAAATCTCTCTATCATGGTTCAGATAGCTCATGTTAAACATGTTAAGCATCAGTTTGGACTTTATTGAATATTGTTACAATAAATTCAGTCTAAAAAAAATCGCTACTAACGTCCGACTGAATGTAAAGTAATATATCGTGAAATATCGAATCGTCTCCCCTGTATCGTGATACGTATCGTATAGCCAAAATTTCACCTGTACACATCCCTACAAGGAATATTAGAAAATCTTTGACTGTTTTTAAGTTGTAGCCCAGTGAGACACTGGTTTATGAATATGCCAAGCATTGAAAAGTACAGTATGAAATCCCCCAAATCCCGCCTCCACAAAAAAGTTTCCCCAAAAGATTTTCTCCCAAAATGTTCATGAAGTCATCTTGGGTGTCTAAACCCATTTTTGTGAATAGTTCAAATGTTCTCTGTGTGAATCCAACTGAAAAGTTGCACATGTTCTCATTATTTTGCGTGTGGTACTAGCCTAAATGTCCAAGCGAAGATTTAATTTTAACGATCGCATTAAAAGTTCAGGGTCAGAATACTTTTAGGCTTTCATCAGAAAGTTCTCCAACTTGTAGACCCACTCTCTATTTTATGATGAAATCTGCTAAAGCCAGCCCATAATCTAATAATCCACTGGTTTAGAGACTGTATTGTTTACCCAACTGATTGCAATGTTTTTTTTATCCAGTATAAATTTGCAGCAATAGGTCTGATAAACTGAAAAGTTTGTGTGCTAACATGTAAGAGGTTTCACCCCTTTTACATTTTTTTATCTGCCACAAAAAAGAAAACAGCATTGTAATATAACAGACTTTGCTTTCAAATTGGAGCAGTAACATCTCCGTGTCTGCATTTCTGTCCTTTAAATTATGACTTAAATAGATCTAAATTACAGTTTCAGGCTCGTCATTGATTTCTGTCACGCTAGTATTTAGATGTGGGCACCGAGTTCTGTCTCCACATGACTTATGTGTGGGATGGGATGGGGGGGTTCAAGCATAAAATGCCATCCCTCCAGCCTCACTGAGTCCAAGAGCATGAAATTTGATGCTCGGTTGAAAAGGTTGAAGACTTCAGTGGCTGCCTTTATTTTTTTTAGACTGCTTTCTGCATCTAAACAGCACATTTTTATTCGGTCACACGCTGTTTATCCAATTAGCTTGTTACAGTCAGGAGAAAGAAAAACATTTCAGCAACATCCAACTGCCTGAAGGGCATCAAGCAGCAACTTAAATATAACCTTTTTAACCCATTCAGGTCCCATAAAGAGCTTTACTGTGTTTACAGGCACTTTTCTATTACATCGCACCACTTTCTCTTCTCTATAATCACACACCAATTAGACCATCAGCTATGAGCTTGGTGTCTTGCCTAAAGATACTTAAACACACGGAGGGGCCGGGCTTCAAACCACCAGTTAGCAGACCACCGCTAAGCCACAGCTGCTCCAACCTTCTCAGTACAATGCTCATAAAGAAGGAAAATACTGTGTCTAATATTAGAAAAGCACCGCACCAATTTACTACTGTTTAAGAGGCTGTTTGTGTTTCGACCTTTCTAATGAATTACCTTTTCAAGGGAAAGTGTGTTTTGTATAAACCAGGCTGTTTATGCAGGGCAAGGACACCTTTTATTTTTGTTTGTAGAAAAAAGGACAGAGGTCATGTAAAATCACTAAATCGTCAAATCTTTTTTTTTTCTAAAAACGCCACAACTACATATTTGAGGGAGGGGCTGCAGAGTTTATTACACAATAAAATTGTGCTGACACGCTTCAAGTGATGTATGCTGGTAGTTAATATGCGGTTGGAAAATGCTTACAAATGACTTTGGGTTCCTGGTCTTAAAGAGAATAAAATGGACCCAGGGGGACAAAAAACTGCAATAAAAAGCAAGCAGGTTATGCACACAGGTGTCAAAATAAGATTATTAATATCGGTCTGAAAACAAGAATCTTTGGACTAGTTTTACTTTGACATTAAACAAAAGTAGTGAGGGAAAAAAATCACTAATTGCATTTCAGATCTGGCTTTGATGCAAGAATCTTTAAATCTTCGTTTCACGAGACATTTAACTGAATATTTTAGAACTTTTTGCAGGACGTATTTTATGCGACAAATGTGTAAATATTGAGAAAATTTGTGATGAATGAGAAGCAAATTTCTAGAAAACATTAATCATCACTAGAGATGGGCCAGAATACTAAGATGAAAGAAAATACTGACAATGAAATGTTGCGATATTTCGGTTGATGAAACTGACGTAATATTTAAAAGAAATCTGTTGATTTGTTATTGCAAATATAAAAGCTAACATTTACTGTATTTCTTTTATGTGGTGCAATTCAAACATCCACTCCTAGGTGGCAGCATTCTGGTGGAACAACAAGATCTTGCGAACACACTCGATTGGTCTTGGAAGTGTTTGACCCGAGTTTTCTCATCAATTTCAGTCTTAAATTTCAAAATATGGTCAGGCTTTTAGTATCGCGATAAATTGTATCGTATCGCCAGATTATTGCCAATACACACACCTGGTGAATATTTGTGTGTGTGATACATTTAAAAACTATATCACAACTACATCAACAGCAGTCTTTCCCCTACATGCTTCTATTGAATCACAGCACGTCCCAACTTCCATCAACAGCTCTGTTGCAGAGGTTTGTATTTTGAACAAACAGCTTTTTCACATGGATGGATGAGTGCTAAGCAACCACAATGCTCATGGGCTAACAATAAACTTCTTAGAGGGATGAACACCAGACAAGCTCTGTCAGAAGTGACAAGGGTGGCTATGTAGAAATAGAGGGCAATCACAGAGGGAAGGGCCCAAAGAGAGTGCAGTAGAGAAGGGGAAGGGAAGCTCTCTAAAGAGCGGAGTAGTCAAGAGTTTCTCAAAGACAGACTGGGACGCTCCTGTTCTGGTAGAACTCTGGTCCACCATCATGGAAAGACACATGAAAAGTCTGAAGTGTCCTGAGCATGGTGTAGGCTCTGCTAGCCAACGATCCTTAAAAAACTGGAGTGACTAAAGCCTAATTTATACGTCTACGTCTACATGGGTGCGGACAGAGGCAACACAATTACGCAACAGCGCAAGGGCTCTCCGACAAGCTCACAGAAGCTGAGAAAGACATGCCCAACTTTTTATCTATGTGTCAAAAAGTGACAGAGACTGCAAGCTTGTGATCAGTCAGGACGCCGCTTCCTTTAAGTTGGTCAACAGCACCACAATAGTCCCCTCGAAAAAATCAAAAGACATCTAGCGGCAAACGAAGCAAACTGAAGAACGCATGCGGAAAAATTCCTAAAATATTGAACGTTTCTTCACCCGTGGAGGGTGAATGGTATTCGTGAACAGAAATGATGGGAAACGCGGGTTTAGAGGTGGTGACCGCATGAAGTGGTGGACAAATTTGTCCCTGTTAAAAAGTCTCTGAAACATATAAACACAACATAAAGAAAATAGAAAATACACAATCATGGACCAGATACATGAGTGTAATGGTGACAGAATACCACAGAAAAGTGCTACGCCTTCTGTTGTCCTGGCTGGGAATTGCTTTGCAAAACTCCCCCGATGACGGAGAAGTCTGACACATCAATACGTGAGCTGATGGAGATGTACAGGGTGGGCCATTTATATGGATACACCTTAATAAAATGGATATGGTTGGTGATATAAACGCCCTGTTTGTGGCACATTAGTATTTGTGAGGGGGCAAACTTTTCAAGATGGGTGGTGACCATGGTGGCCATTTTGAAGTTGGCCATCTTGGATCCAACTTTTGTTTTTCCAATAGGAAGAGGGTCATGTGACACATCAAACTTATGTGGAATTTCATAAGAAAAAAACAATGTTGGATTTTGTAGGCTAACATCAGTGACCATTGAAGCTCCTTGGATAGAAGGGTGATGTGTGCTCTCTTAGACTGAAGACCACATGCACTGTTGAATTCTTGACTAACTACAAATACCAACACATGTTACCATTATGAAACTGACTGAGTTACCTTATTATTAAAGACAGAACTGTTGAAAAATAAAAAGGATGCATGATGAACTTAAGATTATTAAAGCCAACATTGTCTAACGTTTTACCAAACTCCTGGTTAATTACAAGACAGGTGTGTTATTTTTTTTTTAATCACAAAGAATGAATAATGTCTCAGTCACCAAAGCTACTGTTTTAGGCCAAGTTAAATCGAGCTATTCATTAACCACGTTAAACACTACAAAATGTACCTCATATTTATACGTTTTAGAAAACTAAAACATTCAAATGAATAGGAGTTGTATTCACCCGTTTCCCCGAGCTCGTACAGCGTAAAGCCATCGATCTGAAGGTATCCCTGGAAACGCTCTTTGTTCACCCACGACGACAAGCTCCCATCCTCGTACTCTGCAACACGGAGACAGGATCGTTGAAAATACAAAAACAAACCAGAGCAGCTTATCGAAATTCAGGGAACACAACCTGCCAATATCAAAAGCAAAGCAGAAGAGTGTATCGATGGCTGGACTGTTCAGAAGATCACAATGTTTACAGAGCGGACGCTCAACAGGGGGTGAAGAACAAGACAGGCTGAGCATCCACGGATGCAGGGCAGCTAAACAATCATCAGAGCGGTCTAAGAGGGCGTCTAGGATCATAAACAACACAAAGGTCTGCAGAGAAGAGAATCAGTGCAGAAATAAAGATAAAAAGCTACTTCATGTATATATTTTCCATTCATCTAACAAAAGGATGTCAAAAGTTACACATTTTCAGTCGCTTTTTTTTTTCTATTATTGATTTTGACTGCTATTATCCACGTTCACCTTAAAAAGCAGGAAAAAAAAGACTATTTTCCAGCTTTAGTCGATGTTATATGTATAATTTAACAGTTGCATCAGACACAACAAAAATCAAAGTGTGAGAAAATATCCTAAAAGAAATTAGAAGAATTTCAAGTTTCGTTACTGAATGTAAACCACATGATTTGGCTTCTGGAAGCAATATATATATATATATATATATATATAATAATTTTATAGCAGCACAGTGGAGACCGGCTACAGGATGCTTGTAATTAATGTCAAATGTAGCCGGGGCCTCATTATGACATGTTAATAGGTTATCACGACCTTTGCGCTTCCATTTAAGTAATTACAAGCACTCTGGTGACTTTTAACATGAATCCGCGGGGCCTCGAAGGCGCTGTGAGCACGATACCGAACATGACAACCTAAAACCTCCAACATGCTTTTAAATCCTCAAGGTTACAGTAGTATTAGAACGTGTTTTTCAGTGCTGCAGCTGCGTGAAGGCAGAGGGGGCTTGTTGTAAAGCCTGCTGAGTCAGTCGATCAAGCAGACATTCCAAAGACTTCTTTCCACAGAGGTTTTGGCTTTATAGACAGCATGCAGCTGCCCAACGTTTCCCCCAGAAGCACAACACGAGGAGAGCGGGGAGAGCCTGTACAGCCTGATGAAGCTCTCCTACACCGACTCAACTCGCTTCACCTTGAAACAAATTAGAGCTGCTCTCGTTCAGGGCGCGAGCCTCAGAACATTTCACGCTGCCCTACAGGAGCCTGTCAGCCAAGAGTTCACGCAGCGGGGGACGACCTGTGGAGATGAGGGGCAGGAGGGGGAGTGAAAACAGACAGGAGGATGATCTGGTGTCAGAGTGTGGAGCAGAGGTGAGAGGAAGCTCTGTCAGGAGGAAGGTTAATGGCATGGAAGACCTCCTAGGCTATGCAAATAGAAACAGAAGCTCCAGGAGAAACGTGGCTTCATCAAAGATACCTCAAACACAGAAGGCTGTATAATAATCAGACTGCATGATAGAAGCAGCTCTTTAACAGGTTAGGACTTCTCTTTAATCTGACTCTTCAGCTCTTATCCAATCAGACTTCACTAGAAAAACAGAAGTAGAAAAACAGCAGCATTTATTATTACTACGGATAGACTGGTATCGGGTTGATATTTGCCGTTTTTGTATATTGAAACGGCCAATATACCTCTTTGGTAGATTGGTTTTAAAGTCAGGCACGTCCACGGGCTGCTGCCGTTTTTAAATGTATATTTGCATTCCTGAAAAACATCTGCTTAAAGCACTAATGAAGAGTTTCTTCTCAGAGGACACCACCTAGAGGTGGAAAAATGTATTACACCTGAAGCCAAACGTCCTGCTTCTGTGATTACGGCCGACAGCAACACCTCTCGTTCTCACCTGAAGCCGGCCAACAGAGCTAAAAAACATGGTTTTACAATATGAAACTAAATCTTTATTCATAAATATATTTTTAGACTTATAAGACTTGTCTACAAGAAATTTAGCCAATTCTGCTTTAATCTGGACACTTCCACATGATTAACATCTGTATGCAAGCGGATGTTTACTGCTATTGGCTATAGTGCTTAATTCACATTGCATGCATTGGGCTCTAAGGGAATGGGGGCAGGCAAGAAAAACAAAAACACGAATGTATCGACAGATTATCATTTTTACCGATTTCTAATAAATCGCACGTAATTCCTGACCCCAAAATTCCACTACCTCCGCTCCACTCCGGCACGAACTCTGCAGCAAAATCGGTCCCGTTGTAGTCAATCAGAGCTGTTCCACTACTGCGGCCGTGCGGCGCAGTGCGCCGCCCACCGTTCCGCCAAAAATAGGATCGATTCTATTTTTGCCGGACGCCGGAGCACCTCCGCAGTAAATGGACAGAAATCACAACCGCCCAACAGGAAAAGGAGCAAGCACAACTTCCGTTATTTCACAATAAATCAATAAACAAAAAGCATTTTTTGTTTCATATGCACAGGTTTAACAACTTTTAACAAATATCAATGGCGGCTGAACTTTAAATGCACAAAAATAAGCCATAAATACAGTTTCCACTATCAAAGTAGTCACACTTTGTTGATCCAAACACTGCTGATCGCTCAACACAAATGATGGGCATATTAAACAGTTCGTTTCGATGCTTCTCCCACACAACGGGTGTTTGGATATAACTTCCGCATTCATTGCTCGGACTGTATAGCAAGATCTCGAAAATCCTGCGCATGCTTGTTTGCGCACCTCAGGTCTCCGCACCGGAGCGGAGCCGTTGTAGAGCGGGTACCAGAAAAAATTGAGTTGGAAGTGAGCGGCTGCGGAAGGCGGGGGCGGAACAGAGCGGAGGTAGTGGAATCTTGGGGTGAGAGGGGTAAAAATCCAGACTGATAAAGGCTCTAAAACTATTGTCAACCTGAATGTGGTTGTATCCACCTGTTCAATATTTAATATTTCAATTTTTGAATTTAAATACTGTGCAGTGCACAAAGTTGGTTAAATTTTGTGTTCAGAAAGGTTCATAAATACTGTCATCCACTAATGTTATTAGTGACATTTTAGCATGGAAATAAGAAAGAAAAAGCCCATATGTCGGCCATCGGCTGACCGTGACCTCTACGTATCGGTATCAGCATTAGAAAACCCCATATTAGCACATCTCTAATTAGTACCTTTATTTTCTGTGGTTTATTGTTTAGGATGACGGTGAATCATTTGCTGCAAACCCTCTGCACTAAACAATCACCTAATAAACTATTGTGCATGCTAGAGAAAATGAATGCATTGTGACATCATTTAAAACATGGTCTCTTATGTAAATTTTATTTATACCAGCCTTATAATGGATGACGACCACAGAAACAACTGTATGTTATTTGTTTTTTCCTTCTGCATCAAGCCAGGGACTGGAGCATCTTGGACGTTCATCCAGATTCAAATAAACACTGCTGGTGTGCATTTTACCTGAGAAACATCACTGTGTTGGGAGTGCGAGCTCAACTCATCGGTTAATCAGTCTCTGCTATTAGTGTGCAAAAATGCTCCTCCTCACAGCTGCTGCCTTCATGAACTCTTCCATAAAAGGAGCTAAACCGTTAAGCGCCGATGCAGATTACCAGAAAGCCTCATGTGGAGCAGCGAGCAGGTCCAATTCAGGATTCAACATGAGTTTACAGACGAATGAAGCGGTTCCCTCTAACACTCATCCTGATTATATTTTTGGTTTTGTATGAAACTACCATGTCGGGCAGCGTCTTCATCTGTAGACACATAATGATCGCTCAGCGCCCGAAGCACAATGAGAGTCCAGACCGGCACAGCAGTACAACACCGAGGATTTCAGTAATCAAATATGTATGAGCCTCGGTGCTGGACTTTATTTTTAATGCTATTGTTCAAAAAAAATAACAAAAAATCAAAAGAAAGAGAAGTGCATGAGTGTAATCAAAGCTAAAAACAGCAATGTGTCAAATATGCCTATACACAAAGGGAGAGGTGGCGTCTGGATGGAGCGGCTCTGCTCAGCGGGATGTTTCCTTTAAAAATACACGACACAAACAGTACGTGTGAATTGAATTTCTAATATTTGAATCTGCTTCTTCTCAAGGTGCAAAAGCAGACGCCAGGGGAAAAACACAATGAACGCTGTTTTGCATTTTCTGCAGAGTTAAAAGCCAGATGAGAAAATAAAAACTAGAAGCCATGCAGGGTGGCATCCACTGGCTGGAATAACACTTCATATCACGTGCAAACATGTCTAGGAGGTTTAAGCAAATAACGCTTGATAACAAAGTTTCTGAGAGCATCATGCAAAGCGAGGGGAGCAGGAAGCCACACGAGGCGGCTCCGACTCATTTATTCTCCACCTGGACGCCGACAGACTGATCTACAGGAGCTGCATCTCTCCGCTCCGCTTAGTGTTTTCTTATTAAAACATTTCTTAAAAAAACTGAAAGAAGGAGGAAAGAAAGGCCGAGCCATTTCACCGTCTTCCACAAGTTTCGTATGCCGTAACCATGGCGACGCCAGACACTCGCCACAGCCTCTGCATCAGGGTCCTGGGGGAGTCGGCGGAGTGTGGCATTTTTGTCGTCAGTGTCAGCTGCGGCGAGCCACTGCTGCTGCGGTTCTGGAGCACGAAGCCCGCCTTCTGCAACGGTCAGGTGGAGCAGATGTGTGTGACGTTTAAGGTGGCGGCGGAGATGGATTTTCTTCTACAGGTGATAAACCGTGCGCCTAACCTTCCCAACAGCTACTACTGGGGCTCGTTTGTGTTGGCGCTGTGCCTCGACGCTCTCCCCGTCCAGTTCTGGCTCCTAGCTGAGACTCGATGCTGCATCGAGTTACAAAACCTTATAGAAAATTGTGGAAAAATAACTCTGCTGCAAGAGATTTAAACTTCTTTTATCAAACATGATTATTTCTTCAGACTTACTGCTTTTATTTCAGGTCTCATCTATTTTTGTTCTGAAACCTTGGTCTCCCACGCCTACTCAGAGCAGTTCATGCATGTCAGCCCAGAGACCAAACCACTACAACAGCACTGACCTAACCACACTGCTATAAAAGTGGACAGAGCTTCTTGCTGCTGTGTGACGAGCCGAGAGCAGCATGAGTCAGTGAGGTGAGAAAGAAGAAAAGGAAAAACTCACCATCGTAGGTAAAATGGCCGCCATCTTTAAAGACAACAACCGTAGGAAGCTCCGATAACGACACGGACTGTTGAAGACACATGAAATTAATTAATGTGGAGTCGGTTTTGTAGCTACTAGCAACCAAATGTCTCCATCCACCAATCATTTCTTTCCATTTTATTTTCAAGAAGCCAGATTTTACTTTAATCTCCTCAAGTGGAATTCTGAAAGCATTTTAAAGTTTTTCTTGTGCCTTAAACCAGCTTGTGTCGACACTTCTCATAAAACTAAACATAAACACATGGCATTTTAGTTGGAACAAAAGTTCCAGTTTTAGCTGTTTGACCTGCAAATACTAGTCTGCTGTCCCTGACAAACTCACCTCTAACGAGTAAACAGCCAGTCAGATCCTGTTCATCTGCTGTTCTTCACTTACTCCGTTTTTCTTGAGAATTTTAACATCTATAAACAAACTAACAATTTATGTGCTAATAAAATTAGTCTAAACCATTTTTTGATGGAAAAAAAAACATTTTAGTGTTTAAAATGTTGTGTTTGTGTCATCTTATAGAATTTTTGCACATGCAAGTTGTTATGGCCACCAGTCTGGCCTGTGGTGATTAGGCAGACACCGCCCCTCCTCCTCCTCCTCTCCTCCAGGCTGCTGAGGAGCACAGCTGAGCTGAATCTGACCACCGACACCTGGGATAAAAGGGCTGTGGCTTCAGCAGTCTGGGAGGCACCAGTGCAGGAATTCTGCTGCCCTCCAGACCTCGGTTTGGTTTAAACCCCTTCGATTTGATGACTTTAACTCTTTAAGGTTAACTCTAAGTTTGATGAGTTTTTTACACATAAAAGGTTAAAACTCTGAGCTGATCCAGAAGGATCTTGTAGTGAGGGTATTCCCTCTTTGAGATCACCGTAGTTACTGAGTTATGATCTTACTGATCTCTGGTTTGGGTATTTTAAAGGTCAACTATGTTCTGGTTTTAAGACTTTTATCAACTTAGTAGTGTTTTAAAAAGCCTTCAGTTTTGGTAAAACTTAAGTTTCAACCAGGTGTTTTGTTTGTTTGTTGTCTTTCAGTGTTTACCTTTTTGAGAATTTTTTTGGTTTGGTATCATTTTAATAATGCTTACCATCTGTGTGCACGCTTGTTTTTAAACCTTCTGACGATTAAACACATTTAAGTCCACTATCATGTTTCTTATATTACCCCCCCCCCCCCACACACACACACACACACACACACACACACACACACCTTTACATTTTTAACACCTCCTGTCGAGGACGTAACGCATAAAATAAATGTAAATAAGTTGTTTACTTGCAGCAAAATACCTAAAAATAAAAAGTATTACCAACGACTGAAACTGTTGTTGCCTGTGTGAGTTTGTCTGTTTCATTAATAAACTACGAGGCTAATCTGAGTGAAACCTTCAGAGGAACCACTGGAGGTTGATTAACACGAGAAATAACATTTTAGTAAAATGATGCCGGTTTTATAGATTAAACAGCTGAAATGGTATGTATTAGTAGTTGAGAATCATTTTTAACACTTTCTTTATAAACGTTTTGAGTTCATAAGTCAGCAAAAAACACTCAAGGTTTTACCAGGCATTAAATCTGAAATTTAGAGAAAAAAGTCAGATGGCGATCAGCCTAATCGATGATTGATCAATTCAAAATTAAAAATAATAAAACCTTTTTTGGGGGTCTGTGAATGCACCATTACAAAGCAACAATAAAATAAAAAACTCACGTTTGTCCCAAACAGTAAACACACCATTTTTAAGAGCTACATCATGCTAGTAACATGCTTCCAGCAATAATAGCTTTCATGTTATTCCAGATTTTCTAATTGTTCTAGATTTTTACATAATATGCCTTTATATTTCTGTCTTTGAGCTGGAATGAGTTAAAATCAGCTTCAGCAGGTCAGAGCGCTGTGTGAGTCAAATCGGTACCTGCCCTGAAAACCAGAATCGATGCAACTCTGGTAAATATTAAGGAAAAAGTTTAAATGAGCTGAATTTTAAAGAAAAACTATAGTTTAGTGAAATTAAAAGATCAAAGGAACATTTGGCTTCTTGGAAGAAAAATAATAAAAATGAGTTAGTTCAGGATCTTTGCACAGCACTGCAGCAGTGATGTAATTCACTCAGTATTGAGTTGAAAAGCATATAAATATCTCCCAGATGTACAATATTCAAGAGTACGGTACTATTTGAGGGTAGAAACATAAAAGAATGGGATTATCTGAAGACCTACCTCTGGTAAGGCCTCCTCTGAGGCAGAGAAGAAGTAAGTGTAAACAATCAGCTCCGATGCTACATCGTTGTACTTCTCCTGCAATGTTTAAACATATGTTTTTCTGCATAAATCAGAACACAGGTTGGTGCTTTTTGTGCTCTTACACTCAGCTACGATTCACGGCTGGGGGGGACAAGCGCTGCTTACTTTGAGTGGAGAATCTGCACCGACGTACACAAACAGAACGTCGTGTCGTTTCATCATGTGTTCAAACATCTGCTTGCTGGGCAGCGCGCGAACCGCCGGTCTGAAAGAGAATAAAAGAAATATAAAACAAAATCCAGTTCACAACAAACGTGATCCATTTATAAGGTGGGTTTTTTTGTGTGCTGATGGCGCCACCCGGTGGAGTGTTAGAGTATCTCCTACTCGGACTTGAGGAATCAAAGCCAAGCTTTTGATCATCCCTCTTGACATGGATCGGCTCGATTCCCCTCCAGGAGGAGAAAATCTGTCGGGTTTAGCTGATAGAGCGGCTTAAAGAGGAGCATCAGAGAAGAGCAGAAACACATGGGGCTGTGGAACAAATAAGGCCAGGGCTGCTTAAGCCGGCTTGGACGACTTTCATCACTTCCTTTGAAACGAGGGAAGTTCTGCTGAGTTTTTAGTTTCGGGTCATTTTGTGAGTCTGGGACTTACCCCGCCACCCTGTTGGCAAACTCCACGATATCATCTTTTGTTCTTGGTCCCTTGTAGCTGAAGGCGAGGTCACCCTTTAATCTGAACAGTGGAGACGAACACAAAACAAAACTGAGATGACATTTCTTCTTTGTTCTGCTACAATAGACTAAAAATTATCTAATAATTGCACAAAATAATAAAATAAGACATTTTCATATTATATTAATTTAGAGGGATTTCAAAGTTTTGAATTTATCATAAGGTTATGATATTTTGGAGATTAAGGTGGAAGCAAAAGACTATAAACTCTGAATTGAGGCTGTTCCAGAGTAATACATTAATTATAACTTTTAGACGTGGGACTACATTACGACAAAGCACTGTTGTAAGCCGCCGCTGCATGGCGCATGGATATAATACAGCCAATTTACGGCCAACGTTGGTCGATAATACTGGTAGAGCAATAATATCGGACATCCCTCAGTAAAATGGTAAAATTCCTCCAACGAGATTTCTGGGTTTGTCAGAATCTAGTCTATCACAAAGTTTGAACCCCTTCAATGCCACTTTTAGGTATTTAAGTCTCACTGCAGCATGTAAAAAAGGAAGAAAAACACAAAAGATTGATTTTTCTCCATCCTTTTAAACCTGTTTGATGTGAAATGGAGTTTAGGATTAGCTGCAAGTTAGAAAAAAGCACAAAAAACGAGTAACTTTTAGTAACTTCAAAGTGTTTCAGCTCAAACTGTTTCATTTGGCTCTGATTAAATCCATCAGAAGAATCAGATGTCCTGAAGGTTCTGTGTGGGACTGAGAGGTGGGAGGAGAGGACGTGTTTTAAGAAGCAGCGTGTTCTCCTGCTGGTGGGGGCCATCGGAGCGTCTGGCCGGCACCAGAACTCTCCACACGCTGTGACATTTGAACGAAGCTCAGCTGGTAATAAAGGCCGTGATGAACTCCCACACATTGATCTGATGGCGTGACAGAGCTGGCCGACTCATGTCTGACTTTAGTTCCTGCTTGATGTAGCAGAAATCAAAACTCGTCACAGCAGAATGTCCCGTTAATTCATTCATGAGGTGAGATCTGATGCAGCTGATGGAAACCTTTTGTTTTGATTTTAGAAGTTTTAGACGTTTTTAAGGCTGATAAGAATGCTGATGTTTAGGAAGCCGGACAGTTGACTGTGGATACAAAAAAACTTTTTTTTTTTTGCTTAACCCTTTAATGTCCACAGCACAAAACCGTAATAGGGAGCCCAAGTCTCTTCCCTTTACGGTCGGCTCATGGGTCCCCGAAAGAACGAAAAAATGAATGCAAGTCAACAGGGCGAAAAGAGCCATTTTCTAATCCGCTTTGCCCTACGCCCTGGATCGCAAATGTTGTACTGCTATTTAAATGAAAAGTATTGATGAGTGTTTTGACCATGCCTGTCACATACTTTGGGATTTATCAGCTTGTAAAAGTTCGTAAATAGCATGACAAACTAGAAATCGGCACGTCGCATATGTGACGTCACCACACGATCTCCTCTCCCCAGCGTAGCTGCTACTTACCAAATGACCAGATTTATGGTGGTTCTTTCCTCCTGTGGGAAGGATTTGAAGTTTGCTGAACTTAAAGCCATTTTTCCTCTGTTTTTCTCCGTGTCTGGTTTGATGACGTCACTTTCTTGAAGCGCATTTGTAATTCTGGACTTATTTTCACACAAAACCTAAAATAACGTTTTACCCCATTCGAAAATAAGCGAGTTCTTGGTATCAAAATGTATCTTAAAATTTTCAAGGACATTATATGTGAAATCCATGGCACAAAACAAGCTGAATTAGAAAATAGCGTCTTTAGCCCCGTTGACTTGCATTCATTTTTTCGTTGTTCCGGTGACCCATGATCCGGAGTAGATGGGAGTGACTATATCATTATTTTTACAGCTGATTCACACATACGCTGTACTTCAATTCGAATGATAAATAATTATGGCTAGGTCTGTTACGTAATTTGAGATTAATTAGCTTGTATAATTTGGTAATAAAAACATTACAAATCAGACATCGCATTTATGACATCTGCAGAATCTCTTTTCCTTGTTTAGTTTGATAACGTCAGCTTGGTTGGACGAACATTTGTAGTCCGCAATGTCTTTTCACATAAAATCTAAAATAACTTTTGCCGGCTGCCGAAAATACTTGACTTGTACTTTACTTCAAACTAACATGAAAAAAAAATTTTTATACAACACAACTCGACACAAAAGCAATCAACTAATAAAGTCCGAAAAGGAGTAGTTAGAAGTAAAACTTGTACATTCCTACCCCCTTCTCAGTTATTCTTATCAACTTATCTCAAAAACAAAATTTTAAAATTAAGAAACAAATCTATATAAAAATAACAATAATACAGAGTAATAAATTGATTAAACATACTCAACAATCAACTTCTTTTATTACTCCATTTAACCCAGCTCATCAACGTAATTATCCAATTGATGTTTTTGCAGCTCTTCTTAAATTGATTTACCTTTACACATTTTTTCAAATCTTCACTCAAATTGTTTCATAAATCAACCCCACATATTGTTGTACACATACTCTTCTTTGTTGTCCGAACACTCCGTTTTTTGAAGTTTAATGCCCCTCTTAAATTGTACCCATTGTCTTTATCATTAAACATTTTCTGTATATTACATGGAAGTAATTTATTTCTTGCCCTAAACATGATTACTGCAGTTTTAAACTTTATCAGATTAAACAATTTTAACACTTGTAATTTTAAAAACAGTGTTGTTGTGTGTTCCCAATATCCCACATTATATACTATCCTTATTGCTCGTTATTGCAGTATGGATTGGAATTGCAGATTACGCGCAAACTATGTCTAAAATTCACGGACATAATATGTTAACTCCATGGCACGTATCAAATGAGATCAGAAAATAACTTAACTGTCCATTGACTCCCATTCATCTTTTGGCAGTAAGGGGCCTGTGGATCTAAAGTAGATGGGCATGACTTAAGCTCTGCATATTGCATATGAACTTTGTTGGGGTTCAAAAAGGCCCAGGAGCCCTGATAAATCAGACAAATTTAATTCCATATTAAAGTGGAAAGACAGCATTGCCCCAACCACCCAGCCAGGACATGAATATTAAATGAGCTAGGTGCTGATTTGCTGCCTTACCCTAACGACTCTATAGTAGAGCTGGGCAATAAATCAAAAATGTATTGTTATCGAAATTTCTGACTCTTAGAGATTATTTTTCCCATGTCAACTGAATTGAAAAGTTGTGTGTTGGTTGGGAACATTCATGTCTGCACCACCTTGAGTCAAGTAAAGACTCAACGTAATACACGTGACAGCCCCATCTAGTGGACAACTTTTGTTCTGCAGTTATCGTCCATTTATCGTTAGAGGTGAAATTATCAATATATCATGATATTGATTTTAGGCCATATCACCCAGCCCATAGAGAGCCTAGGTCACTTCTGCATCATGGGTCCCCTGAAGAACGAAAACTGAATGCAAGTCAACGGGGCTAAAAATGCTTTTTTCTAATTGCGCTTGTTTTGTGCCATGGATTTCCCATATGATGTCCGTGAATTTCAAAGATACATTTTGATATCAAGAACTCACTTATTTTTTAACAGGGGCAAGCTTTATTTTAGGTTTGGTGTGTAATTAAGTCCAGGACTACAAATTTGACTAATTTGTAGTCATGCTAATTACGAACTTTTACAAGCTGATAAATCTCAAAGTACGTGACAGGCATTGTCAAAACACCCATCGTTAGGTTTCATTCAAATTACTGTACAACATATGTGTGATCCAGGGCGTAAGGCAAAGCAGATTAGAAAATAGCTATTAGCCTCATTGACTTGCATTCATTTTTTCCATTCTTCCCGGGATCCATGAACCGACCAGAAAGGGAGGAGACTTAGGCTCCCTATGTCTGCCTGAAACTAGTAACTCTGTATTCTGTGTGATTGTGTGTGTGTGTAGTGTGTGGAGGGAGCCACAAACAAGGAATTGACTGACGGGCCAGCGGATGACCATGGGGTAGGGCAGTGGGAGTGCAGACAAGCAAGCTAAGAGAGATTCAGGCAAGTTGTTGTGTTTGTAGACGAACAAGGAGGACAAGGACGATGATCTGGGGATGTATCTGATATTTAAGGTGAGGGATGCTCAGGACGTCAGCAGTAGCTCGTGCTAGCATTAACAATAGCTCAGGCTAGCTTTGTTCTGCGGTCAGCATTACCATTTATACATTGCCGACGCTGAACTGTGTTGTAATATGCTAACATAAGGGTGTGTGTCTGCCCATCATGTGTTAAACCTGCTTTTCTCAAAACAAACCATTCTCTGTGGTTGTTACATTACTAAGCAGGCTGCAGATGGCACAGACTCTTCGGTATGCTACATTAGGCACCCCAAGCTGCCTTTATTCAACAAGGTAAAGTGGTTTTAAATTCTAGGACTACTTTAAATTGTGCATAGAGGCAGGACTCCCATATTGCATTTTCAGTTGTAAATCTCCTTAAGAGCTGTCTGCAGGTTGTTGTAAGTTTGTGCTAATCAGTTAAAAGTCCTAATTAAACACACATGCACATCACACTGCAGCTTTTACAGTTACATTATTACAGTTACATTATTACCTAAGTCCACTTGAATGCCCTGGTTTTGGTTTTCTGGGGATTACAGGGACAAAGACATGCATGCATCAAATAACCTTTAGACTGTTTTGTCCCCAACAGGTCTGTTAAGTCTTATGGTCAAGGCCTGTTTCTCCAGCGTGTTTTGACCTAATTCCCTGTGTTTTAATTATTTTTTATTCTTATTTTACTTTATTATTGTGAATGATTAGTGTGTTTTTATTTAAGAAGGTGCTATGAAAATAATTCTTTACTCACTTAGACCACCAGATCAAATTAAAGCTAAATGCATTAACTTCCACAATCTGACATTTCATTAAAAAGGAAATGGATCCTTTTTACATTTTGCTGCTTAAAGAAACTTGTTGAAGGCGTTTTTGGTTTTGTTTATATTTATAGCTGAGAAAGTGACTCAAAAGTAATAAAACAGACATTAATCTAAGCCAACTTTCACTCATTACAAGTGAGTTTGTGCTTCTGTTCTGATGAGTCTGTACCTAAAAAAAAAGCTAATTTATCACAAAAAAATCTGTTGAATCTAAATGATTGCACTTGTAGTGGAAATAGTAAAACAAATGACTTTTCCTAATTGAGTTCCAGCTGAGGAAGGTGGTCGTGTCACGTTCTTCCAACAAGCAGCATGCATTAAAGATTGCCAAGGTTGCATCAGCCCGCAGGGCCTAATGAGCTCGGGGGGAGAAACAAACTCTAAATCAACTCTCCTTGTGTCATCAGGGGAGGCAGCTCATGTTCTTCTATGGATGTTTCATCACTTTCTTGGTTTAATGTTATGAGCCCTGCTGTGATCCTGTGGCAGTTTCCCAAATGAGCTTGATGGAACTGATGTGGGAGCCCATTATGGCGTTGAGCTGACAAATGGTTTCGATTCAGACACATTGAAGGAAACTCAGCTCATTTTTCTCAAGTCAACATGAGTTTGGTCATCAAGCAGCTGGTGTCTACCAAAACTTGTGCATTTTAGGAAGAAAAAGTCATCTGAACTTCAAGAAATGATTTATAATCCAGAGGAGACACTGAAAACTGAAATAACTACATGGAGAATCTAAAGCATAAAAGCAACTGAGCAGCTACTCTTACGTTCTTTTGAAAGTTTTTCCGCAATCAACCCAAAAGAGCCAAATCTAATCAAACTGAAGTTTAAAATGTGTGAACAGAGTTTGTCCGTTATTATGCCACAAGGAAAACACAACAACACCTCGTTCCCTCCAGAATACAGATACATCTCCACAGGCCAGGCCTTGAGGGACGAAACATAACAACAAGCATAAAGGATGACACCGAAGACACAACATTAACGTAAGAGAAAAAAATAAACTATTGGACAGCAACTGAAACAAAATCATAACTAGGGATGTCCCGATCAGGTTTTTTTGCCCTCGAGTCCGAGTCGTTTGATTTTGAGAATCTGCTGATACCGAGTCCCGATCCGATACTTTCGATACATAAAAAAATAAGAAAAGGAAGAAACTGTTCCAGAATGTTCCTTATGTTTTATTTAATTACCTTTTTATTTTTATTTTTAAGAACAGATCACTTCTGTGAGGTAGCTTGAACAATCAAGTAATAAATAACAAAATCTTCACTTTTGGACTTTATTGCAAATATAAAAAGTCTAATATAAAAACAGATAGCACCTCAACTTAAAATACCTGGCAGGGGGCTATTTTGCCTCGGCCCCCAAAATGCTTAGATACGTCCCTGGGCATGGGATGGAGTTTTGAAGATGATCTGAATTGTATCAACTATATAAATACTACATGCTGAAAAATTATTGCTTTATACAGGTACAAACGTACAGTGGGATCAATCTACCTACATTTTATTTTTTTAAGAACTTTGTTTTGTTTTCTTGGTTTTTATTTTCCTGTCTTCCTGTCCTGTCTGTCTCTGAACTTCCTGCATCTCCCAGTCCTCCAGAAAAACTCCAGTCTGCTTCCTTCTTTTTCACCTCACAAGTAACTTTTTAACTAGCAGATCAAAATGATCTATTGACCGCAAAAAAAGCGGAGTCTGCGCTGCTCGGCTGCGCGTCCACACGTCATGCTCAAACACAGACAGAACTTACCAGAGAGAAAATGGCATCAGGGGAGCCTGACAGCCTTTAAGGAGAACCATGTTGCTCTCCTGTAATCTGAACCCAGTATCCGAGTCCGGATCGGGGCTTGGATCGGGAAGTAAAGCCCGAGTCCCGATCGAGTCTGAAACCACGTGATCGGAGCCGATTTCCGATCATGTGATCGGATCGGGACATCCCTAATTATAACACAACTAAATCAAAAATCCTCCAGAAAATGTTTCCTAAAGGAGGTTTCCTCTCCACTGTTGCCACATACATGTGAAAACGTTTAAGCCACACCTGTCAAATTGGCAGATGTGGGAGTGTCTCATGCAGGTCATTTTTGAACCACGTAGCACAATGTCCTCATGGCCTTCAGAGTTGTATGTATTCAAACGTGGGTTTTGTAGTGACCTCTGACTAGGGCTGGGCAAAAAAATCCCATGTCAATAAATTTGATAATAAAAAAAATGAAAAGATGCGTGTAGGTTGGCAACATTCAAGTCCCTTTAAGAAGCTGTACCACCTTGAGTCACCAAGAAGGATCTCTTAATAGATCATTGGAAAAAAAATGTCTGCGTCAGCCAGGGACTCAGAACAAATTCTCAACAGTCGGCAGTTTGTGGTTTTCAGGAAGTTTATTTTATTTTGACAAGAGAAGAGAAGAAGCACGTCGGTCCGACGCACAATATTAAAACACAACGGTAATGTCCGACGTGCTATCACAAACACTCCACAACAGCGGCTCAAAGCAATCTGCTGGGTTTCTTTTTAGGAAACTTTTAACTAATTGGAATGACAAACTGATAGGTAGGTTCAATTGGAATGTTTACTTTATAAAGTGCCTTGGGATGACTCTTGTTGTGAGTTGGTGCTATATAAATAAAAGGGAATTAAGTTTGTATGTTTATCCAGCTCAAATGCAAGTATTAAATCAAAGACACTACATTCCCTGGAGGAAAGCGTCCCATCTGCTGCCTTTCAAGTCACCGTGTTAAAGTAAAACCATCTTAAACTGAGAAATGATGGCGTTAGCGCTGCTGTAGACAAATTCTGAAACCAACATTAATCATCATCTCACATGACCTGTTAGAACTTGGGTGTATGTGCTGTGAACTATTCTCATTAAATTTTATCTCAAGATCTGTAAAATTGACAGAATTGTGGTTATTTGTTTGTTTTCTGTGGTTTCTATTGGCTTTGGCAGCCATCTTGAATTATTAATTAATGGTAAACAAACATCCAGTTTTCTGAGAAGTTCATTAAAATCCCACAAGTGGTTCATGAGATAATTCAATAACAAACAAGCACACACATATAGGCCTTTTCCAACAGCACTACTCAGCGCGAGTCAGAGGAAGGAGTTCGTTTTGGCCGCCTTTTCTAACAACACGGTTCTGTATTCAGTCCCTGCTCCGTTGTGGTTCCAAGGGCTAAAGCTGGGCCGGCATCACGACTATCAACTGCTGATTGGCTACGGAGCGGAGTCACTGGTTGCACCAGAGCTTTCTGGCTGCTGCCTCATAACCTGCAGCCAATTCCTGGTTCAGAGTCTGACAAAAAGCAATAAAACTGAGCAGAATGTTCAACATCACCACCATTTTTTGTCAAGTTGTGGTTCACCTCATATGGAACTAGGATTGGGACAATATTACATGTAACTTGTACCAAGCGTTGTAACCTGTAACATGTTTTATAACTGTAACTTTCATTTTGTAGCACGTAATTCTTGTTTTGTAACACAAAACTTCCATTTTGTAACTTGTAATTCTTGTTTTGTAACATGTAACATGAAACTTTTATTTTGTAACTTGCAGAAATTAATCAATGTACAAGTTTGAAATCACAACTCCAGGGTTTCCCCCAGAAAATGAGTTAAGCCTGGCGCCATTGGCCATGGGGGGGGGGGGGGGGGCGCGTGCACCGTTCCACAGCGCTCCTCTGTGAGAGCGAGGGTAGGGGTGGGGTGGTTGCACACATTCTGCGATGGAGGGCTCTAGTTTCGCTGCACCGTTCGTGTCAGCGGACACGGTAGGGTCGGGGAGGGGAGCCCTGCAACTCTGAAAACACACATTTCAGTCTACAGTTACAAAACTTAAGTCTACAAGTACAAAAAATGTTGTTCCAATTCTAGCTTCCTTCCCAACGAACCAAGGACAGGCTTTGTCTGACCAGCCAATCACGAGTCTTGGAAGCAAGCTAGAATTGGGACAAAATGTTTTGTACTTGTAGACAGATTTGTAATTTGAAAGTTGTGATTTGAAACTTGTACACTGATTTTTTTCTGAAAGTTACTAAAAAAAGGTGTCATGTTACATACCAAAGTTACATGTTACAAAATGAGATATACATGCTCCAAAAATAACTTACCTGTTACAAAATTAAAGTTACGTGTTACAAAACGTGAATTACATGCTACAAGACAAAAAGTCACAGTTACAAAACATGTTGCAAGTTACAAATTTTAGTACAAGTTAAATGTAATATTGTCCCAATCCTAGTTCCATAACCTCACACCTTTTATTAATCGCCTCATGCTATTTTGTCTCGAGTAAATATTCCTCCCCCCTTCCCCATGGCTATGAGGGGCGCACTCACTTTCTGTCCCGGAGCTGGCAGGGAAAACCAACAGAATTAGGCTGAGTTAACCCATGCTGTTCTGAGTACTGCTGTTGAAATAATGGCTATAGAGACAGAAATATTATGGCCCACCTAGTTAAATTAGTCACCACAAGCATGAAAACGATAAAAAAAACTCACAACTTTATGGTGGGGTAACCGCGGACACCAAACTCTGACGCCATTCCTGTCACAACAAAACAAAAAATAGCATCTCAGGCAAAAAGATTTTTTCTTCTTTGATTTAAATACATGCATCACCTTTTTATGACTTAATTAATATTTGTCGTTCTCAGATATACAACATATTTTACATTATTTTTTCTTATTGTTGGAAAAAAAATGACTTTAAGGTAGCATTTATTAGATTTAATACATTCACTGTTTTTGCCACAACCTTGGTGTTAAAGTAGTTTTCTGGAGTTTTCTACTTTCAGAAATGATGTATGATTTTTCACTAATCTGTAAAAGTGATTGTCTCATCATGTACTGTGATATAATGTAAGCAATACATCTTTTTTTTTTTTTTTTTTTTTTGCTAAGCACGCCCCCTGCCCTGCTGAGATCCATGCAATAGGAAACTGAGCGCCGACCAGAACTAACCAATAGCGTTAGACTACCGCTCATGTGCTTCTAATTTAAGGAATACCTCAGCTGATGCAGAGCTGATGAACTTTTCACGGACAAGTAAATCTCAAAAATATAAATATATGAGAACACAACATGACATGAGAACAATACTTGTAAAACAACGTGTTTTAGTTCCGTTTGTTGGCTACAGAAGCACATAAATAAACAAGTTGCCATCTTAAAAAACGGATAGAGATCATTTGTGTGATATGCTTGTAGATGGTGCCATCGGATAAGAGAAATACTCCGGAAAGAGACTTTAAATTATGTAATAACTGAAATTATATCTTCATTCATGGCTACAGTGATGCTATTTTAATTATGTAAATCACAAGCTTTTGTTCCTAGAAAACTAAAAAATAACCACATCTTTGATGAACGAGATGAAACCGATGATGATTCGCTCACCTGAGTAAGCGGTAGCATCCATCTTACCGACACGAACTGGCGACCCAGAGCTCTTCAGCTCCGCTCCCACGTCAAACCAGATTGGCTCTAGTTTTTTACAATAACCGCACCACGGAGCGTAGAACTGGAAAAGACAAAAAATGTTTACTTGTTTGATCTTTAATCATTCAGATAAAATTACACTGACCTGACTGTTTTGACAAGCTGAACATTTTCAAGTATTTAAAGTATTTCCACTTTCAACCAGTAGGTGGGAAAAGTGGGGAAACTTAGTTAATGTCACTTTAATAATCCTTGCAATTTGCAGAACACATGAAAGACTTCTTAATAACAGAAGTCCCCCAGCAGCTCAAAACAGCTGTGAAAGCTACTTTTTCCTGTGTTGTGCTGAGACGCTAACTCTGATGCAAACCCCTTCAAGCCACCAAAGCTTTGGGATGCATGCATGACTTCTCATCGATTATTTGCTAACACAGAGGACAGTCAGCAAGCCCTCCCTTACTGGATCCCAACCAGACGGCCACCACTTCCGCTGAGGATGATCCAGACAGTGGAGGGCAGAATAGGAGGTAAACCACAGCTCAACGGGCTCAGATCACTTTGTGTTTGTGTGATCATGTGTGTGTGATATCAGACTTACATCAACCAGCCAGATGTCATTCACTCTAGTGTCTTTGAATCTATAACAGTTTAAAAAAATTACATTTCATTTTGAATAACGATACAAATCTTAACACTTTTTGACAGTTAATATAATAACTAGAGTGACAAACCTTTTTTATTAAAGTTTAAAACTTTTGTCTGTTGCCAAAAGAAATAATTTAATGGTATTCTCACATTTGAACATCAGGAAGTCAAAAGGTGGGCTTTATTAAATATTTGGCCATCAAAACAAGAACTAAATTACTTTCTAGGTCCATCAAAAGCTAAACTAATTACTACAGCCCCTCTAAATAAAACACAAAACCTGCGTTTCCAGCCACAGACATGTAGTTAAATACAACTTGAAACTAAACGTGTATCAATTCTCAACATCCATAATAAACAGACTCGGAAACAGGCTGTCATGTTTCAGGAAGCTGAATGAAGCATCACTTACGTTTCATCTAGATCTTCAACAAACGCCAGCGCCGTTGAACATAATAAAGCAGCTACGACTGCAACGGCAGAAGAAACAAGATGTTCATTTCAGTGTCAACCTACACCTCCTTTAGCTTCTCTTCCCGGCTCAAACCTCATGACTGACTGAAGCAGCATCACCAGGCAGCTACAGCTGCAGCTAACTGTGCTTCAGCTAGCGCCAGTTTCACCAAGAGGCTGCTTTAAATGTCGTTTTAGACTATTATTACAATAACGTGTAATTAAAGTGTTAGTGGTGCAGGGAATAAAAGAATGAACATACCTCCACAAAACAGAGAGGCTTTCACTTCTGCCATCGCTTCGAGCAGGAAATGCAGCGGCTAAGGCTGCTGTCTTTGCGCATGCGTGGGTGATGTAGCCGCCGGGAGAGGACATCCGGAAGTTCTACGTAATTAACGCAACTTTATTAACACGTTATATTTAATTGATAAATCCTCTGTTTTATAATATTATTTGTCAAAAATGTTAGAAATCATCTTTGAAACCAAATATTAGCCCTTAGCCCCTTTTCAAGTAGAAGACAGATTGGAATAAATGCATCAAAATGTAGAAAAATAAAATAAAATAAAATTATATTTAATTAAATTAAATTAAATATTATTTGATATAATATGTGGATAGAATGTCACTTGGGGTTGTCGAACTTGTATAAATGCCTCATTAAGCAGTTTTGCAGATGCTTGAAATGAGCTGTGTCACCATCAGTTCTTGGGGGTTCATTTGCTGTTATATTTGTTTGTTTGGGGTTTATTTATTTTGTTTTGTTTGTTAGTTAGTTAGTTTGTTTGTTTGTTTTCATTAATTTATTCATTTAGATTTTTTTTTTACTTTCTTTTTCCCTGCTTTGGATTTTTTATTTTTTACACTTTTTAGTTTATGTTCGTGGATTTTTAACAAGTTTGGTGCAGGTAAAGACTACTTTTATTTACGTAAAATGAAGTGTTGTTTTTCTCTCATAATTGTGACATTTTCAAAATGTACACGTCTTCCTCTATAGTTTTTTACACCTAAGAGTTTTTCCTAAAGTTATGTTGTGATTGAGATCAATATTTTCTTTTATACGTTTCTAGATGTTGTTCACTTTTCACTTTTTGAAAATGTATTCAGTTTTGTTCAATTTAATTTATCCAAATACAGTTTTGTTTCATTTTTATTTTATTATATGACTGGATGTATTATTACAGTTTGGCACATTGGGGTCAAAATTAGATGTGGGTGTAAATTAGCATCCGTGCTATAATCCAGGCTTACTCCTGGGTAAATGTCCATTAAAGTGCACTGTCCCAACCAAATGAATGAATGAGGTGACACGGTGTCATAGAATAATCCTTGCTTAAAACATAGCCCAATTCAAAAAGGGTAGACAGAAAATAACCTTTTTGAAATAAAACGGAGCAATTTTACAATTTTAGTTTGTTTCTTAATTTTGGCTAACATCAGCATGTTCTACTTGTACCTACCGCTAGATGTCACTCTAAAACCACAGATAAAGTCAAATTTGCACTAGCTCTGAGCCCTATTTCTATCATCCAATTTTATTTACACATTCATGGCAAATAAATGCAGTAATTTGAAAATCAATTTAATTCACAACTTTGCCTAAATCAAAATTTTGGATGAAATTTTCGGCTCCTGACCGACACGTTTTTCCCATTTTATCAGTCTGATCACATTCATGCCAGACACAAAATCATCACAGGCTTTATTAAAAACACATTTATTTCATTTTTAGGCTTTCAAAGCCATAACATTTATCTGATACTGAGCTGCATTAATAGAAAATACTACTCTTACATATTTACACAGGATCCTCCTCATTTGACATGAACATGTAAACTTATTATACACAACACATTTAATTGTTAGTTGCACACAAAGTGTCAAAAACTTACAAAGTAAATCAAAAGTTTGTTTGTTTTTCTCGACATTTTAAATCTTGATGAGCTTGAATGACTCTTGAAAAGCCTCAAACTGCACAATGAGCATAAATGTTCATTAAAACTGTATTTTTAATCCTGCTTTATCACAGCAGCCATAACACACAAGTAATGTAACAACTTTTATACCATGGCCATCAAAAACAGTCTAGAATAGGTCACAGTTTTTAAAGGAGTTTAGTTTTTATAGACGTTGAACCTTTTTTATTAACTCAAGCAATTATTGGCAAAATAAACGTAATTGAAAAACATTTAAAAATAAGTTTGAGCTTATTATCAGTAGAACTGTTGGATTTATTTGTGCTCAATCTAACGATCAATATCTTTATGAGTGAAAGAAAAAATAAAACAGCATGAATCTGTTGTGTTCCCCTTGCAAGAGCTTTACTTTCACACGGGATGACGAGAGACACTGTTACTAACCCCACTCTGGGTGTTTGTGCCAAGTTCCTCGGTGGTTCATGCTGTTGTATTTAAAGGCCTTTATTCTTCAACCACGGGGTCTCATAGAGAGGATAAAACCCTCAAAACAATGATTAATACCCCAAAGCTAATTTCGATTTATACCCTTTTAGTTCAGAAAGACGCTTCACGGTTAAATGTTGCTACCTATAACAACAGAAAACATATAAAGGCTTGATTATTAATTTGTTTGCTTTTCAAATACAATAAAGTTGTTTGTCAGATTTAGATAAAGACATTTTTGTTCTGCTTATTCCAGGCCAAGAAGCAAACTCCCACTCTCTCTGAGGCTGACTGGTTTCACTCGTCGGGACAGAAATGACCTCAGAGGAGCCTTTTAACAAAGCTCTCTTTACCTCATTTCATCACTCATCAGATGGCAACAACAGCAGGAAAGTTGATTTCTGTCCCACAAAGTGGCCAAACCTCAGTCTCTGCCTCTTTCTATTAACTTAGTGGTTTAGAAAATGATAATTAACAATTATGATTTAATACAAAAAATAAAATAAGATGTTGTGTAAATAAGAACATCTAAGCAGTATTCTGTTGAAATATGGGAAAGAAAATTGTAAATATGCTTTGTTAGTTTTAATATGTCATTTCTATAGCCCAGGAAACACTAAAACACCATTAAAACATTATAGCAAGAGCTTTAGATTCAAAACATCACACTGGCATCAGAACAAATACATGATCTGTAATTTCCATTAGGGATGCACAATATCGGCATTGATATCGGCCAATTTTTGAACATATCGGTATCTGTCCTATAAGAAAAACTGGGCTGATATTAACAGCCGATATTTTTCCCATCTTGTCTCCATTTGTTTGTCTGTTTCAGATGGTGAGGGGGGTGATGTGTAGTTGTTTAGTCCTATGATGGTGATGGTAATCATCTCAGAAGCATAAATGTGTGTGGTGTGTGTGTAAATAACATATTGGAAATTCCACTTTATAGAAAAATAGAAAAGCATTCAAAAATTCAACTTGCATCATTTTAGTCTGTACAAAATTTGCTTATTTCAGAAGCATAAATCGATATCGGCAAAAATTGGTAATCAGCCTTAACAGTGACATTATTATTGGATATCGATATCAGCCAAAATACTTCATATCGGTGCATGCCTAATTCCATACTTGTTGCAGTCTTGTGCCTCAACTTTTAAAATATCCTATCACGGACGTAATATCACAACTAAAAAAAGGTGAAGGAAAATAAATGTCAGTGGTAAAGAACCAATACCGATAAGATGACTAAAGTTATCTGAAGCTTTTTGATTCACCCTCAGTTGGCTCTTGTAGAGAACAATCATCTCAGGCAGCATTACAGCAACAGAGGGCATGTCCAAATCCAGGGGCTGCATCCAACCGAGTACACATTTTAAGGCAAATTACGTCGCACCGAAGCAACAAGGCCCAACAAATTCCAAGGACACTCCAAACGTGTCCTCCAATCCTTCTTCATTTTCACTGAATTTCAATGACAGGTCTGGAGTATGGAGATAGTAAAGGCTATCCCAGGATTTATTGCAACTGAACAAGATTTTCTTTCTGGTTATAATCACGGGAAAAGCGGGAACGGTTGCCAGGAACACGACATACGCTGAGGAAGGCACAGGAATAAATATGAAAGCTAGACCTTCCCAATTCACAGCCACTCATTCCCGGTCGTAGCAGTTGAGAAAAGACCTGGTAGAACGAGTCCTCACAAGAATACTTTACCTGGATTTGGACAGACCCACAATTTTTCTGACTCTGACTTCTTGGTGTAGCATAGACCAGCATATGATGTGTTTTGGTGCTGTTATGCTGGTCCAGCATGTGAAGCTGGTGATTGGATGCTGATCCACCATCTCAACGAGCACCAAAGCAGCTAACCAGCTATGCTGGTCTACGCTGGTCTTTCCAGCAGGGATGGAACACAGTCTGAAACTGAAAGCTGGTGAAGAGAGAACCATTAACAATGGTCACAGGTGAAGCTTCATCGTAGGCTTTCACAGAGGTTTGTACGGTAGTTAACACTTTGAGAAGATATTTATATCAGAGGACCATAGGCTACCCAACAAACCAGGCCAATGGTATCAGAAGCTGATACAGGAACAAATGACATGGTTAAAATGAATCAAGATTGCTGCCAAGTCAGTCAAACAATAGACGTAAGGCTTCAGATGAGGCACACTGGTGATGGTTAAAGTGGTGATGCTGTTTTTTGCCAAAGTTTTGGTCCATAAGAAACTAAAGCGATACTTTTGCTGCAGCAGCAGCACTGAACTGGAGCAGCTAGAATTGCATAGTTTGGTTTATCAAACTGCTATCAGTCAGCGTCATTCCAAGATGTCCGTTTCAAATGGGACCAAGTGGTAGTAGGACAGGTTGGTGACATACGCCTCTGTTTCTTCATCACATACTTCTGTTTCCATTGGTAAGAACTCTGTTTCATCCTCATACCTGGATAAAAAAACACACATTACCCAAAGAGCAGCAGCAAAGGCACTCTGAGAAGGAAGACAGTTCAATTCTAGGGGTTTTAAAGAGACAGTGTGTAGTTTCCTGCCACTAGGAGGCAGTACATATATTTCAGGGTAGTTTTACACCATATCACAGTGACTGTCGCTAGTTTCAAAAATATTGCGGTAATTGTTGTCACCTGTGGAGCGGAAAGCATGTGACCTTTCCGTGACTCTTCGGGTTTTGATGGTTCCATCTAGAGAATGCAATGCCGATTGTAGTTTTCTGGTGCAATACTTTCCAGATATGCTCGGGGTCCTTACCTGCCAATGATGTCATCATACTACGGCAATACCACTTGGCCAAACTTTATTGCATCTTTTTTCGATTCTGTTCTTTCACAAGTGTTTTGGAAAGAATTTAGCAGTTTTGTTTATTAAGTTCATGTTTCTTACAGTCTAAATGTTTTTTTAATGTAACTTACATAAGTCGTATGTCCAGCCAATCATCTAGTGCAGTGGTTCCCAAACTTATTTAGCCGCGCACCCCCTTCTATGTCCCGACCATGTTGACACACACCCCAGCCCCACATCAGGGCATGGCTATATATATATATATATATATATATATATATATATATATATATATATATATATATATATATATATATATCAGACGTCACGCTAAACCAGGGGTTGGCAACCTGTTCCCAACAAAGAGCCATTATTACCCGTTTCCCACAGTAAAGAAAACACTGGGAGCCACAGCAGCCGCGGCGTTGTGGGCGGGGCCTACCCTCAGACAGCAGAGAGCTGCTCACAACAGGTGATAGCAGCTGGTACCAGTCGCTCGTGTACGTCAAAGTTATCTTTCATAAGAAGATAATCAATAAAACGATTTATATAAAGTGGATCCAGAATTTGTAGCCCGTCTCTTCCTACAATATTTTGATATTTTTCACCCTGTTGGTGGTTTTACTGAGTAGGTGCCCCTTTTGTCATACGTTTCTTTTTAAAACATGTTTAGACTGTTCAGAATACAAATCCAGGCTCTGTCACGTTTGATTGTTGTAATTAAACTTTGTAGGTGGGGAAGGTCAGAAAAGGATCCGATCATTTTGTTTTTCCCTCATTTACAGTGACGGAGACAACGGTGCATTGCGCCTGGCTCTGGTGTTAATCAAGTTAAATTATATCTCTTTGCAACAATTTTCACAAGAAAACAGAACAGTTAAAAGCAGGGCTTGTGTTGACCGGACAGTTCCCGTATTTGACCGTTTATTTTGACGGAGAAAGAATAGAAAGAATTACCCCGACGCATGCAGACGAACTGACACTTTATTCGTTTCGCACATCGCAGGTGTAGCTAAATCACTCAAGAAAAGATTTCCTTCTGAACATCTGAGCTGGACACCGCTCAGCGCAGCTCACTGTCAGTACGTACATAAGGTGCACAGTGAGCTGAAGATGTGGAGAGGGGCTTGGAGCGCGTTGCAGAACCAGAGCGCATGCAGGAAGATTCCTTCCACTGAAGCAAGAGTTTTCCAAACCCGGTCTCTGAGAGAGACTTGTCACTTAGAAAATGTTCCCTGATGATGAAACTTTGGCTGAATTTTGCTTGTTCCTGTCTCCAATGTGGCGTCTGAGGAGAGTCCCAGAATGTCACATCGCCTTCAGCTCAGAAAGCGCCTATATGATTACGCACAAGCGTGACGCGTCAACCCGGTCACACAGTAGACCGGGTTGGAACTGTTCAGGTTTACGCAGACAATCTTTACATTTAGAATTAGCTTACAGATGTAAAATTTATGCAGTAAAATATAAAGCATTTTATTTAAATATCCATTCATTATTTTACAAGCACAGAGAGCTGCATAAGATGGATGGAAGAGCCGCATGCGGCTCCAGAGCCGCGGATTGCCGACTCCTGAGTTAGGGCATGTGCGGAGGACACACACACACACACAAGCAAAATATACTTGTTTTCAATTACGTTTATTGGGCCCACTTACATTTTCTTAGGCCCACCCACAAATGAGTTTCTGACTACGCTAATGGTGACTTTTGACAGACTTCTCTGAGCTCCGCAGCCATTACACTTTTCACCTCGCGCACCCCCTAGCGGCAGCTCGCGCACCCCCATCCCTGATCTAGTGTGAAGTCATCAACAGGTGCAGGACCCCGAGCTGGAAAGAAGTAAACATGGCTTCCAATATGGCGTACCCCAAAGACGCTAGACCCGCGCCCTATGTACTTTAGACCTGATTTTTATGGTTGTATGGTACAAAGCGCCAATATTTTTTAACAAATGGACATAATTTTTATTCATTTCCAATAATGTTTCCACGGACATTTCCAGAGATTAACAGTAAAAACTACACATTGTCTCTTTAAAGTTGATGTTAAGGGTTAGAAAGTTACTTAAACGTTGAAAAGAGGTGCGAAATGTGTCTTTGTGAAGTACGCAGAGGAATGTGTTCCTCTTTTGCTTCCTACACTAAAAGGGAAGGAAGAGGTGTACAGACAGACTTCCTGTCTTATTCAACAGGGGTGGAGGGTCACAATAAAGGACTTATAATGCAACAACAAACATAAAAGTTACGGGAAATCTGGCATATATCAGCTGATCTAAGACTTATCTTTAGATGTACACAGGTATCAGATTAGAGTATTGATGTTTTAAGAAGGCTCACGTATGTTCTACAGAGTCCGTAGATGAAGGTCTCTCTTTTTCTTCAGGGATACTGTGATCAAAGACTATCGTCTCTGTGTTCGCCAAACAGAATCCATTTGACCGCATGATTTCTATGAGGTACAGAGTACAGTGTTACGTCAATTATCGGGGCCTCGAGGATGATAACAGCAGATCTTGATTTTATTTTATTTTTTACCTGATATTTTGATCGGATTCTGAAAGCAGGGCTGGATTCTGTGGACCTTGTCATTCCTGAGCACCTGATCGAGCGGCGAGCGCTCAAAGAAAGTCAACATCACCTCTGACCGGGAATACTGGGGAGAGAGAAGGTTTTCGTGGTCAGTGTATGGCTTTTAGAGTTTCTAAATAAATTTATAGAACAAACATGTCGCAGAAACTTTTAAAAATAAACATCACATTTCGCTAATTGATACATTTTTCTTTCCTTTTTGCATTCAGATAAGATGAGTGACCCTAGCAACAAAGAAGTAGTTTTCCCAGAGCTTAAATATCAAAAAGAAGACCCAAAATAAAAAAAACCCTGACAAAAAGACAGCAGATTTAGGTTGCGGGGCAGTCTCAGTCTTTTGCACAATTTCATTTAGTTTCATTTTGGACCGGTTTGAGTGGAAACGAATCCAAATACGAAGCCTCAGTAGGCTAACACTCAGAAAAAGAAACTGATGTGAAACTTGAGGAAAGGATTCAGATATTTGATGTTGCTTTATTGAGGTTCATACACATGTGAGAAAACTGCAGAGCACAAACCAATTTCTGTAGTTTCTATGGTTACACCCCACCTGCATCATTTAGTCCACTGCATCTGTGAAACACAATCCTAACACTCAGCAAGTTATTCCTTGATTTCTACCAACAGGGAATATTTAATCCTTAAAATGTGCTTTTATCATCAGGATGAACGTGAGATCCATGGAAAGTATGAAAAAACTTTAAATACAACATTTTCTGTGATGTCCTATGACAACACAAAGCTGTTGATTACCTAACTTTATGGTTTATAAATCAAAATTAGCATCACTGAGACAGGACAAATGTGCCATTTCCCAGACCAAACCTATAAGTTAGTTAAACTATTTAGCAGGTTGGGTTTTATTTTGTCACGTTTCCGACGCAGCCGTAGTGACTCACCTTGCACGGCATGTTGATGGCATTCTTTAGTAGTCCCTCCACCTCGTTCAGCTTCTCCTCCGTGTCGTGTGCCTCTTTGATTTTTACCAAACCTACAAAGCAAATATATGAATGACCTTTGGAAAAATTGTGGACAGATTTTAACTGCTTGTTCTATAAGGAATCCACGAAAGGAGGGACAAGAACGTGAAACTTTGCACTCAGATTCCCATCAGCCCCAGCTGCACCGGGAAGCTGACTAAGCCCACACCTAAGGTTTTTTGGGACACTTTCGAATGCTAACAGGTTCTCTTGGCATCCTCTGATAAAGAAGCACATTTTCTGGTGATAATGATTTTATTATTATTATTCTAATTTGAAGTTTGTATATTTAAACTTTGAGTGAAATAAATTATTGAATTGAATTGAATTGAATTGTCATTATCAGGGCAATGGTAGCTCAGGAACGGGAGCTGGTTGCCTATAGCGATCGGAGTGTTCCTGCCAGGGTATTCTGTTGTTGTGTACTTAGGCAAGACACTTCACCTAACTTGCCTATGTCAGGGTATCTGCAGGTTTAAGGGAGCCGAATTTAAGACTTTTTAAGACCTTTTTTAAGGCCACTTTGACCAAATTTAAGCTATTTTTTTTTATTAAATTTAAGCTATAATTTCCAGCTATTGCCTGGAACCGGTGCTAACCACATCGTAAACGTGGGATTACCCACCCAATTACCATTAAACTTGCACTTCCCCATGGCACAAGCTCCCACTAGCTTAACCAGCTAATGTGCTCATCTAAAAATAGCCCTCTTTCACAACCAACTGAATGTGTACGGTTCCGCTTACGCCAACACCATACACAAAAAATGCTGAAGACTAGCTAGAAATTCTTGTTCATTGGGTCTTTGGTAATTTAAGACCTTTGGAAACTGTATTTAAGGATTATTTGTCATTTTTAAGGATTTTCAAGGCCTTAAATTTAGAAAAGAAAATTTAAGACTTTTTAAGGACCCGCGGATACCCTGCAATGTTGGTGGTGGTCAGAAGGGAGGATAGAGAGCAGAGATTGTCCTAGTGATAGTGACTTTGCAACATGGCTGAATGCATTCTGTTAGCCAATCAGAAGCGAGGTGTGTGCATATCATTAATAATAATGATCATTTCTGCCGTTTTTAGCCTACTTCTGCAACAGCAAACTTCTGCATCTCAGAACAACGATTCAATGACTTATAAGGCATTGATTAACACTAGGGAACACTGCAAATGTACTGAACAAAAGAGTAAACCACACCTTAAAGTAACAGTAAACATGTTTCAGGATTCAATCAATGGCAATTAAGGCTCTAAATTATTTAATCCATAGAGAACTTCCAGTCAAGTCAATGAAAGCCTCTGATATACAGAGAAAGTCAGCCATGTTGCTATTGCTATAACCTCCACATCCAACAGAGTAATCTTTCTACAAAATCAGCACTTGTAGTGACTTTTTCACTAACCTGAGACCATCTTTAGAACAAAAACTGTTGCTGTGGCACATGTTTACAGGACGGAATAACAGGGAAACATAATAACAGAGGCTGCCTAACAAGTAGCAGGATCCAATTTAAGAAGTTGCGGGGGAGTTGAATGGTCTTGTTTGCTGCTCCTGGGAGTGCGCGGTCAGGGAAGCGTCCTCTACTGCTGAGCTGACAAAAGAGTGAGGAGAATAAAGATGAAGGCTGCAGCCGCAGTGACGAGCCTCATGTAAACAGCAGTCAGTGATTTATGGAAGGACTGAGTAACTCACGCTCTTACCCATTTGTGGTGATTACATCATACTCAGGACTACAAGAGGACAGAATGAGCACTTAAATCACCCCCTTGAATACAGGTTTAACAGTTTTATTGGATCATTTTCTTTAAATGAGAAATTTTCTAACTTATCAGACAGACGTGAAATGTTTCGCCTTGCTTATTTTTCAAAATTTCAAACTAAGATTTTAGTTTTTGGCAGGTAAAATTTACATTTCTGTAAAAATTGACAAAGAAAACTTGAAAAATGTGCACCCAAACTACTTAATTTACGTTTAATCACTGATATAAGACATTCATAGCTCAAAAGTCCTGAATTACTGTACTTAGAAACTGCCAAAACAATGCTTATCAGTTAAGTGTTAAGTTATTGCAAAACCTTTAACGTAAAGGAGTCTGTCCGGGCAGTGGGTGCTGTCACAGCAATTCATAGCTTATAGCCATTGGCTGTTCTCGTAGCTACGGGATGGCAGACACAGCCATTTGGGGCTACGGGCACGCCCTCGTGCTGTGGCTACAATTGGAGCTCGGCCCTACTGTCTAACTATGCTGTCAGACAGAGGCAGTTTTACCATTAGGCATAGGTTGGCAGCCACCTGGGGCCCCCTTGTGTTGGGGGGCCCCCTAGCCCTGACCGCCGGCACCCCTCTGTTAATGCAACAATATTATTATTACCAACCTGTCGCCGCCGACGGGATTGGACATGCGCAATTCTCATTACTATAATTCCTGAACCATTCAAGATATCTGTAAAATTCTAAAAGTGCTGAAAATATTAAAAATAGGACTTTTCATGCATATACAATACATTACGGTAGCCACCGGGATTCCCTGTCTTGAGCTCAACGAATCACAACACAGATTCAGAGACATGCTGAGTTTGTCATCCAAAATGCTCTGTTTTATAACCTTTGAATGGCTGGTCACATTCAAAAAAATTCCAAAGGTTCCTAAAAGTACATAAAAGCAGCTTTCCAATGATCCATAGCATGAAGCAATCAGAGTTATGGAAATCCTGATGTACAGCCTGATTGAAACAGAGCACAGTGGAGCGCAGCGCCGCGGTGAAAGCGGATAACGGAATGGGGAAGCTAATTAGCATAAAAAGCCAGCATGAAATTATGGAAATGCCTCAATTAAAATCAACACGATCTATTAGGTGTCCCAGAGTGTCAGAACCCAAGCCCCCAAACCGGCCTCTCCCAGCTAACCGGCCTCCATCTTGGACCACATTTCCCAGCAAGCTCCTCGCGGGAACTCCCGGCATTCTCCCAGTCACACCCAAGCCTATATATGGAAGACGCCGCACCGGCTCTTCACTCAGTCATCGTTTCATTGAAACCCCTGATCAGAGTTCTCTACCGAATAATCCAGACGTCAAACATCCTTACCGAGTTCAACTCCCGTACCCAGTCGACCATCGTGACAGGATGACTGAGTCCGTAGATCCAGCGGAGTTCGAGCGCATGAAAAGAAAGACGGAGCAAATGGAAAATGAACTCATTCAGCTCCACGCCCTGATCGATCGGCTCCACACCAAACAAAACTCCCAGACCGATCTCATCCTACAATTATCCACAGCCCTCCATGCTCTCCAGCAGCAAGCCCTCGCTCCACCAACAGAGGGGCTGCACTTTAGTCTCCCAGAGAGGTGGAACGGAGAGACGGGGAGCCCAGACGGTCTACTCGCCACCCTCGACATGCAGTTTGAGTGCCAGCCAGGGCGCTTCCCCACTGCGCGCTCTCGGGTGGCGCATCTCACCTCCCTGCTCTCCGGACGCGCGGCTGATTGGGCCGCTGCGCTTTATAATTCCAAATCACCGGCTTGCAATGACTATGCTGCTTTTGTGTCCGCCCTCAGAAAGACTTTTGTTCCACCCAGCAGCGAAGTGGGAGCAGAAACACAACTCCTAAAGCTCCGCCAGCGGGAGCGCACGGTGTGTGCTTATGCGTCGGGGTTCCGCACCATCTCCGCCAAGCTGCGGTGGGATGACTCTGCCCTCCGAGCCGTCTTCTTGGAGGGACTGGCGACCTACATCCGTGATGAGATGGCGGGAAAGGAACTGCCCCAGACCCTGGATGAAGTGGTCGATTTGGCGCTGCGCATGGATCAGCGGGTTCTGGTTCGGCCCAAGCCCTTCACTCGCCCATCCAGGGCACCTGGCCCTCTTCCTCGTTCCCCCACACCTGCTCCCGGACCCGCTTCTACTGATGAGCCCATGCAATCAGGCCACCTTCCTCCAGAGGAGAGACAGCGACGGTGGCGCGAGGGTCTCTGTGCCTATTGTGGCTCCTCCCACCACAGACGCCTGAACTGTCCATTACGTTTGGGAAATGAAGGAACCCACTGAGTATCGGGGTCGCTCAGCCTGGGTCACCTTCAGCCCCCGCCTCTTCAAATCGACTCCTTCTTCATGTTACCCTCCTTCATGGTGAGACCTCACTTCAGATGCACGCGCTGTTGGACTCGGGGGCCGCTGACAATTTTATGGACATGGATCTGGCTAAGCGCCTACGGATCCCCATGACCCCCTTGGAGAGAGTTGTGCCTGTGACCTCGGTGGACGGTAGGCCCCTCCAACCCTATCCGATCCAAAACCGAACCCAGCCACTCCAGATGATTGTCCAAGGCCACCGAGAGACCCTCCAGTTCCTGATCATATGTGCTCCCTCCTCTCCTCTAATCCTGGGATTTCCCTGGCTCCGTCTCCACGACCCCCGGATTTCCTGGTCCCAGGGCCGCATTTTGGAATGGGGGACCCAGTGCCAGGCCCACCTCTCTCCTCCTACATCCATGCCAGACCGCCCGGACGGTGACACTGGCCAAACACCGCCCAATCTGCCACTGCCCTACCGGGACCTGGCTGCGGTGTGCGAAAAGCGGCGCGCCACCACACTGCCGCCTCACCGCCCGTACGACATGGAAATCAAGCTGCAACCAGGAACCAGTCCACCCCGGGGGCGCCTTTTTTCTCTCTCTCCTGCCGAGTCCAGAGCCATGGAGGAATATATTGACCAGGCCCTCCAGCAGGGTTTCATTCGACCTTCCTCCTCCCCGGGTGCCGCAGGCTTCTTCTTTGTCAGGAAAAAGGAGGGTGATCTCCGCCCCTGTATCGATTACCGAGGTCTGAACAAAATCACAGTCAAAGACCGTCATCCTCTGCCGCTCCTCACATCTGCCCTGGACGCCATCTCCCAGGCGCGGATCTTCACCAAGCTGGACCTCCGGAGCGCCTACAATCTGGTCCGTATTAAAGCTGGAGATGAGTGGAAGACCGCTTTCATCACACCCACCGGTCACTGGGAGTACCAGTTAATGC